CACTTTGGAGATTGTATCCCAGTACTGCTTTTCCTACTCTTTTATTGACTATGAAGGCTACTCCATTTCTTCTGAGGGATTCTTGCCTGCAGTAGCATACCTGATGGTCATCTGAATTAAATTTACCCATTCCTGTGCATTTTAGTTCACTGATTCCTAAGATGTCGATGTTCAGTCTTGTCATCTCTTGTTTGACCACGTCCAGCTTGCCTTGATTCATGGATCTTATATTCCAGGTTCCTATGGAGTATAGATCTTTGCAGCATCGGACTCTCCTTTCCCCACCAGATACATCTGCAACTGAGTGTCCTTTCGGCTTTGACCCAGTCGCTTCATTCTTTCTGGTGCTACTAGTACTAGCCCTCTGCTCTTCCCCAGTAGCATATTGGACACCTTCTGACCTGAGGGGCTCATCTTCTGGCGTCATATCTTTTTTCCTTTTGGTACTGTCCATGGGGTTTTTTTGTCAAAGATACTGGAGTGGGTTGCCATTTCCTTCTCCAGTGGATCACGTTTTGTCAGAGCTATCTGCTATGACCTGTCCATCTTGGGTGGCCCTGCATGGCATAGCTCATAGCTTCATTGAGCTACGCAAGCCCCTTTGCCATGACAAGGCAGTGATCTGGACCATAGCAGAGAGCAATGTAATAAGGCCTCTACCCTTTACACCAAGGTCCCAATTAAGAGTCTCTCAGATCTGAAATTTATTTTTTTAACTGTTTACATGATTGCTATGTGGCTTCTTGCCTAATTTGGCTCTGAGTTAAATAGAGAGAATAATGTGATTTGACTACAGATCATGGGCTTAGATGCATTCTGAGAACATTCCCAGGATATCATGGAGGCAAGAAATATACTACTTGTATAGATATGTTTTCTTGTGAGTTATTTTATGGCAAAGATTTGGGGCAAAGGTATCTCTTGTTATGTCTGACCATTGGCTATGCTGGCTAGAGCTGATGGGAGTTGGAGGCCAACCATAGCTTTCCTACAAGCATTTATGACAGAATGCAAGCACTTTATTTGCTCCTTTTTACATGAAAATTACAATGTGGAACAGTTCTTAAATTGTATAATAATCTTATAATTGGACACAATGTGTAAGTGTCTTTCTGAATATTTCCCTTTTCTTGAAAATCTTGTAAATACAGTCTGTTCATGTATGATGAAATCTTTATGGTAGATTAAAAATTACAACTAAGAATCAATTCTCTCATGATATTCTAGTATTTCTGTTACTTAAAACCAGACTAGTCTATATTTCCATCAAATGAGCCAAACTGAACATGATATTGAAGACCTGGGAACAGGATCTCTTGTAATAGCTATTTTTCCATGTTAGTGAGGCAAATAATATGTTTTGCCTTGTGATTTCTGTTCAGAAAATGCTACAAGGTTTTTGTTTTTATTTTTTTAAGAACTCAGTCTATGTTGGGAAAATGGTAGAATCAAGACTGATTTTAATGAAAAAAGAAAAAATGGAGAACCTTTTTAAAATGTATCTCCTCCATCACATCTAGTTTGACACTAATATGTAGCAATTTAAGTTTACAGTGGCCCAAACACTGATGGGCGATACTGACTGAGGTATGGACTCAATATTTTCCCAGGGATCTCTGATAAAAATCCTGACAGCTAAACATGGTCAGGTACTGTTTTTATATACATAATTGTATTCTGCAAAAATTCTGTGAAATTGAAAGAGCTGTTAAGAAATAACTTATTTCCCACAAAATCTTCTAGTATTGGATATTTGACATGATCAGTTTTTGATTTCTGAAGATTGGGCACAAAGTTGGTATTAAACCTGAATGTGAATGAACTGCCATAATGTATTACTAGAATATGTAATACACTATGAACCACAACATTCTAGCCTTTCTCTGACTATTATATTTTTATAATTGTTATAGTTATACTAAAAAACCCTCTTTTTAAACAATGAAACATCAAGAAACAATGCTACTTTTGTGCCAGTAACTGTATTTTTATAAACATGGACTTGGGTCAACAGACAATCAGATTATTAATAAATGCATCTATTGATGTCAGAAGTTTATGTTCATTTTTCAAATAATTTCCTAATGCTGTCATTCTCCCCCTTGCTCCCTTATCTTCCTTACTATAGTTTGTTCAAATTTTCTAACCCATAATCCTTACTGTTACCACTCTTTGCTCTACAGCAAGGCTTGGATAGTCTTCAGTATAGTCACAGACTTAAAAAAAAAACAATCACTCTAATTTTAAACTCAATCTGGTATTTCTAATATTGAAACTGTAGCAGTGGAAGATAGCTTTAGTCTAGTCCAGCTTCACAGTAGAGTAGTACCTTTCTTAGAAGAAATTAAAATGTTACAAAGCACTGAGCAAACTTTTTAGGTTCTCCAGAACACTTTTGCAGATTGAATGTTAAGGAAAACAAGAGAGCAGGGAAAGAAAAAGCTGGGCAGCTTATTGGAAACAAAAGTTTGCACTTTATAACAGTCTTAAGAAGGTGTTGTTGTTGTTGTTAGTCACGAAGTCGTGTCCAACCCATCGTGACCCCATGGACAACATTCCTCCTGGCCTTCCTGTCTTCCACCATCTCCCGGAGTCCACTTAAGCTCACACCAACTGCTTCAGTGACTCCATCTAGCCACTTCATCCTCTGCCAGGTGCAAAATAGATTTCAGGTTGCACTGAGGGCTGCTGGAACAAAGAAACAATCATGACCATTCTCCCATATCATGAAGATATAACAAACTAGCAGTTACTCAGTTCTGTCTCCAGATCAAATTAAACTGTGAAAAATTAGTTGACAAGCTATTTGAATTCTATGGTGAGGATATTTTTCAGCTTCTGGAGAACTCTGAACACTTACTGTTTTGTGACAATTTAGTTTGATCTAATAAGCACTACTGTAGTGCTTTGATTTTTTTTCTACTGGGCAGCTGTTATTTTTTTTTAAGTGGTTGATATCTTGTTACAATTAATGACCTGACAAATTAAGCTTATCCATGCTCGCACTGTGAAACTCTAAATCAGGTTTGCACAGCTTGTGAGCCATCAGTCATGTATTCTGGCCTCCCAAGTTGTTGACAACAATCTTGGTTTGATGGTTCTAGTCAGATAGTCCTTATCAAGCCCCTGGTGGGCTTCTTTACTTGGCTAGTAGGTTGTGTGTGTTGGGGAATCACAAGTTCTTCAGTCCTGTTTCACAAACACTTAAAGAATCGACACAAAAAAGGACATTCACACTTGCCTGCAAAATCCAGGAGTGGAATCCCTGCAGTAATAAAATCACTGACAAAATTCTTAGCATTTTCAGTCAAGTAAGGGCCGCTTTTCAAAAAAGCAGATTTAGGATGACAGAGCTCATTCTCTAGTCTGTGGAGTTCTGGTATGTACATGCTCCACAGAGGAAGAGAAAGGGATGTTCTTTTTCTAAAGATTAGCATGGCTTATATACACAACTCCTTCAGGGTACACATACTTTTGAAAGGACAGGGAAGTGTGAGAAAAATTCTTCTGTATCACAACATAATAAGAGTTGCTGCTTTGCTCATTTTTAGCATATTGGCCAGCTTTGTATTGTTTCAATTATCATTTTTGTAAAACTTGTTTTTATGACTAGTTTGAGGGGGTTTTAAGAGGAAAGGGAAAGTGTTCACATTATCACAAAAATTTTGTGACAAACTACCTTACTATGGGATGAGCTGTAACTCACATTGTGATGGAATGAATTGTTTGTTGTAATTGTTTAAATTCTTAAGTAGGTTCATAAGGAAAAACTAGTGGAAGTGAGGATAGTGCATTTAAATTCATTTGTGAAGCAGAGATCAGATAATTAAGGATGCCAAAGACATCCTTGAACTTAGTTAATTAGTTCAAATTAAGGCTGCTCATAAGCATGCATTCTTTACAGAGTATATTGGTGTTCAAAGTACCTTACAGGATTTCAACCTGCTTATACAATCCTCATAATCACTCTATGACTATTACAAGTGCACACAAAAGTAAATTAAGCTGAAATTAATCACACTTGCAATTGCAAAAGGGTCAGGGAGTAGTTTTCTTACTGGGAAGGGAGAGGTTTTCTTACTGGGAATGTATTTTTACTGAAAAAATACATTTAAATACCCTCTTGAACAAGAGAGGACTGCCCATACATGCAGCATTCATTTTTTTCTTATTATTTTTACGCTCTTTCTTCCAGAGAGCTTGGGATGGTGTTTTCCCTGTTGTCGCAACAATCCTGTGAAGTGTATGGTAGGCTAAGAAAGAATCACTAGCCTCATTTCATCCAGGAAGTTAAAAGCTAGGGAGGGGGTTGTATCTGGGTCTCCCATTTCATATTCCAATCACCAGGAAAAGCAACATAAATCAAAGCTAACGAATAGGACACCGATTCCTATGGAACAAAGGCAGCAGAGGAAAAGACATTGGTGCAGCCAGGTTGCTATTAAAATTAAGCACACAGGGAAACTGCAAATTATGAGGTGGGTGCGAGGCCTCCACAGTGAACATGCAAGTCCCCCTCCCTCGGGGGGGGGGCAAGGGTTGTTTAACCCACTTTTGCTTGGTTCGCATGACACGAAGCTCCCCCTCGCCTCCGTGGCTGGATTGTGCAAGATGCACACAGGCATTGTGCAAGGCATTGAGTTTAATGTGTTAGCAGACTCTAACCAGTTAACAGCTGGGGCAAACCCTGGGGGGACCCCAGACCCAAAAACTAAACAGAGCCTGAGACGAGACTTAGAGCTAATTGCAGTTTTATTTTGGTGCACTATAGAATAAACGGAGACAGAGGGGAGATGCTTCCCAAATCAGAGTCTCGAAAGAGGTACAGAGAACATACATTATATACCCTATGTCATAACAGGTTGTCCAGATACAAAGTAAATTCATTTCCCTATTATTCTTTGTTCTATTTGTTAGTTTACAGAAAACTATTTATTTATTCAGAGACTCCCCTTTCTAATGTGTCTGTTGATTATCTCAGAATTATTCACATCCGCTCTATGTTTCTCAACTATTAGTAATTTATAATGCCATTTGCTACTTTTATGGAGGCTTCACCGGGATTCCAACCGGTTCCAGGCTCCAAAGATACTTCTCATTTACCCGCTTTGACATCCAGTCATCCTGTACCAGGAGTTCACACAGGGTTCTCCATACCTCCCCCTCTCCCTCCTGGACAGGAAGTACAACATGGCTGCAGATTTCAGGCTAAGTGGTTAGGCTAAGTGTTGTGAGGGAGTATGTTTCAGGTAACAATGTCCCGGGCAAGCTGTGGCGTGTCGTCCAAACCTGGTCACAATGAAATAAGACGAAATGTTGGGAAAAAGCGAACGTCCAGGGAGGCAAAAGTTACAGGGGCGAAAGTCGAGGCAGCCCAACTGAAGCACCACCATCACAACGCACCTATACTTTGATCCCTCGCCGCCTCCGCACTTTGAAAGACGGCGCGGGGTCGGCGGCGAGGGAGTGGGGCAGCGCCAAGCATGCCTTGTCCTGGGTTAAACCCCCTTCCTGCCGTCTCCGGCTGCGTATTGTTTGCCCGGTCGAGAGTCCCGCCGTGTTCAACGGGCTTACAGCGCACGCCTTAACCGTCTACTTGCAACGTTAGTCCCTTTGAATTATAACGGAACATCACTTCAGATTTAGTGCCTGAATATAAAAATCTGTCAGGAAGCTGGCACATCCGAAAGACGTATATTGCATATTATTTTGTACCTTTTATTGTCTTTATCTGCACTGGACATTTAATTCTGGAAAGGAGGAATAAATAACACGAATTAATAAACTATTGCAAGTCTGAATCGCTCATGTTTTAGAGTACTAACGAGCAACTGCCACAACTGCTTTAAATGCACGAGAAAAGGCCACTTCGCCCCGCCCCACCAAACTCTTTAATCATGCAACATAGTATCCTTTGCATACGAGCTCCGCCCAATGCCCAATGGCATTGTGGGGGCTGTGTTTGTTTTGCTTTGTCGCAAGGTGGCGTTTGTTAGCTCATGTATGAACCAATGGGCAGGTTAGAGCGTCGGTGATGACCAATCATGGACAGAAGAGTGACGTGACGCTTTGGGCTGGGATGCCGCCCCTTTAACGTCCTCTCCCATCGATTGCTGCCTTCGTCGGAAAGGCCTTCTGAGTGGGGGTATGTTGGCAAGCATCTCCTCCTCGGGAAAACAAGAGCCTAGCGCCCCGGTAATGAATTGAGAACAGTGGGGTGCAGGAGGAGCCCGATGCTGCTGTACCGAGGGGCAAGTGGACGGTGCTCTTGGAAAGGTAACGGAGGAGTGGGCAGAACCAAATGGGTAGCAATGAATGAGGAGGCTCAGGCGGGTGTAGGAGGAATTATTTGGTACAGGCGGGCGCTAAAGAAACAGAGGCTACTAAAGGTGGTGGTGGGGATCTGTCCGTTCGATCAAACCTTTTAGAAAAGGCATTAAGTCCCTTGTCCTGCCTTCTAGTTCAGCCCCCTTTCCTTTTCTCTTTAGTCCCCTTTCCAGCCTTGCATCCCCAGATACCGTTGGACTACAGCTCTTATCACCTCAAGCATTGGTAGTGGTTGCTGGAGACGATGGGAATTATAATCCAGCAGCATTCGGGGGCCTAAGGTTGGGCCAGGGAGCCAAGGCATGGTACGAGTACCAAATCTACTCGACCTGGCGTATGGTATGTATATTGTGAAGAAATCAGTGGGTAGACACCAGCAGAACCCTTCTTAGTAAGAAGGGAGCTTGACAAGTCTTGCAAAAAATAAAATTCTGGTGCCTCAGCAGGGCCTGCAAAAAACGTTCCATGCATTAGACAGAATGTTCAGCTTCTGCACGTGTTCGCAGATCTCCTGCTACCAAACACTACATCTCTCCCCCTCACATCAGCCTAATGCAGATTAATGTGATGCAAGCAGAAAGTGAGAACAAAGTGCACACACAGCAGAAAAACCTGAGCAAGTGAGGTCTCACACACAGTTTTGCAGCTTTTTACAGGAGGGGCAATTCTGCTAGTTGCTTTGTATCATACTGAGTGGCCCCTGACCTGTTACCTTACCCATTACCTTATTTATGTATTATATTTCACTTTTTTCTCATCAAGAAACCCAAGGGGAGGGAGTTACATAATTGTTTTTTCTGTTTCATCCTTATAACAACCCTGTGAGGTAGGTTAGGCTGAGACTCTGGTAGAAATCAACCTATGCCACAATAAATGGGTTACTCTATATATATGCAATATGTGCATACATACAGTATAGAAGTCATTCTAGAAAACATTTGAAATTTCATGATAGGTACACAGTGTAACAAAGACAAGTGAATATTTATGGATAAGTATTCAAATTACATACAAAGCAAATCCTCAGAGTCTGTTAAACCACAGGAAGGAAAGTCATAATTTGCATTATAAAGGTGATGAATTATACATTTAGAAAATATCAAAATTTCTTTCCCCTGCCTGCCCAGTGCATGCACAAATTTCCCATCATCTCATGTAAACATCACAGAAATACAAGCAACATTTACTTTCTCCTAAATACATAGGGTAAGTTCACATGACATGGCAGCCAACTCTGTGATTAACCTGCATGGTGTGGTTTGTTTACATAAGAATCCCTGATGCTCCTGACAGATGATTGAGCTTGCCTGGATTGCCTCCAGTCCTCCTGCAGGTGGACTTTGTGCCAAGAACCACCATTTCTTCTCACTGTGACTGTGAATGGGCTGAAATGACAGCCCATTCGAAGTATCCAAATGGCACATTGGAGCAACTGTTACTGGTTTACCACATTTCTTTTGTACTGAAGATTTCCACAGACATTTTTGCATTTTCAAAGGTGTGCAAATGTGCAATTCCAACTATCTTAAGTGCACAGTCAGTGCCCTTGATGGTGTATCTTCTTAAAGTATAGGAGGCACCATCCATGGCTTTTGACAAAACAAGGCTACAATAGGCTAATCTATTGCTTTGTTATCCATTTGACAGATGTCAAATGGTGAGCTGTCAAGTGAGAAGCAAAGCCACATGGGATCGATCGGCTGTCAAAAGAGGTAGCATGCATAGGACCCCTTTCCCAAGAGTCTCTAGGGTCTTCTGTTTCCTATCTATCTATTTATCTATCTGATTTTTTTCAGTGTCCTCCACTGTTTCTACTTTATCCCGAGACTCTAGCTCCTTGGAAGAATGGAAAAGTGTGATCTATATTTCGTGGGAACACAGAGTTTTGACAGCTGTCAAACTCAAGCTTCCTTTTAAAATGAGTTTTTTTGTCTTGCTTAAACAGAATTTTGTTTGTTTGTTTTTTGGCAGGAATATATGCAGCCATGAGGTGTACATACAACAGCCCAAGCCATGGGTTGTCAGGGTGGCTTGTTGCCTACAAACAAGCCACCTTGCAGGAAGTGGTCCAAGTTTGCATGAATCACCATAGTTAGTGGTAGAATCACCATAGTTAGAGCCTTACTCACAAATACTCACCATTTATTTGAACTCAATCATAGACATGGACCTTACAGAAAATTAAACTTTGACTTGTTCTCTGTGTGCACACATAGGCAGGTTGGCTGTGTCTTCCCCCTGACTTGGGTACTGCTACTGCATGCCTCTCACTTTAGCTCTTTTGCTGGCCCTACTGAACTGTATATAGACTCAGCAGGTTCACACACTTGTCTTTTCTGAGTGGCTGAACTGGTAGTGGGGCTGGGATAAGCAGAATGAGTCTCTTCCGCCAGGCCAGTTTGGTTTCTTTTTTGCTGCATTTGCCTGCCTGCTTTCCTCCTCCAGTTCCTCATAGCCTTGAGTCAGCCAGGCTTTTCCCCAAGACTGCATGCAGTGGGGGATTGATACCAGCAAACAGCAGTCTAGCATGTTTAATTGTAGATGTTTGAATTTCTACATTATGGTTGGGCCTTCCCAGACCCACTAGGCCTGCATGTACAAATAGAAAATTGGTAACATAGGACAAGTCAGGAAAGCTGGTAATCTTTCTTAGAAATGGGAGAAGAGGGCATATGCCCCCAAACCCTCATGGCTAGATATTTTCCAATTAGATGGTATCCCCAGAGGGCTTCCTCCTCTTTCCAGCTTCTTTATGGAATCATAGAATAGCAGAATTGGAAGGGGCCAGAGGGCCATCAGGTCCAACCCCCTGCTCAGGACAGGACCCCAAGTTAAACCATCTCTCTGAGAGGGCTGTCCAGTTACATCTTGAATGCCTCTAGTGATGGGGAGCCCACAACCTCCCTAGGTCATTGGTTCCATTGTTGTCCTGATGTTCAGCAAGAACCCATTATTCCATCTCCTGCACTCCAGGATGATTGAGATGAGATCCTGGCCTTCATTTTTGTGACAACCTTTCAAGTACTTGATTGTGCTATTTCATACATCATATGTGGCAAGCTTGGATTTTATCCCCAGTCCATGCTCAGTGGGGAGTTGCAGTTGATCCTGCATCTGTGAGGAGGATACCTGAATGACACCAGTGTTTGCAGACATGCATAAATTAAATGTACAATTTCAGGACATTTGTATCTTGGGGACTCCCCTATAACCAAAACCATCATCTGTGAAGAGGCCCTCATACTCGACTGGGACATATTTTCAAGCCAGAAGGGAGAAAGGGCTAGTCACATTCAGATATAGAAACGTTTTCCAAATTCATGCAAAGTTATAACCCCCCATAAGTGCTGGAGATAGTCCTTATTTGGAATTTCGATATGTTCTTTCACTTCCTTCAATTAAGAAATAATTGAAAGCCAGTTTGGTGGTTAAGAATACAGGACTGAGACTGAGGTGATCTGTGTTCTAGTCCACGCTCCACCATGGAGCTCACTGGGTGACTTGGGCCAATCACAGACTTTTAGGCCAGCCTACTTTCCAGGGTGGTTGTTATGAGGATAAAATACATTTATGCAAGCTCTCTTAAGTTTCTGGGAAGGAAAATAGCAAGACATAAATAACCAAGAAGCACTGCTAAACTGATTTTCACCTATCCACTAAAATGGTGCTGTCCATTTTTATAGCACTCAAAGCATTTGTTTAAAATATTTAGCCTTAACAAAAATCAAGATGATAGACTAAACCATGGGTCCTTAAACTATGGCCCGTAGGCCAGATACGGCCCGCCATGCTGTTTTATCTGGCCCACCTCAAAGCTTTTGGACTTGCTTGGTGAAAATGATCTCCAAGTGAGTCCAAAAGCTCTGAGCTGGCACAGGCGTACTCAGTGGGAAGGCGAGCACAATCGGGGGCACACTCATGCAGGGAAGGTGGGTGCGATCGTGGTCATGGTTGGAGGTGGGGGAGGAGATGGCTGCGATTGTACTGGGGTGGAGATGACCGCCATCACGCCTGCTTTCCTTGCACAAGTGCACCTGTGATCGCACCCGCCTTCCCTCCATGATTTATTTATTTAAAACATTTCTATGCCGCCCCCCTTGCAACAAAGCCTCGGGGTGGCTCACAACATACATAAAAATACAATCAATAATTTAAAAACTGGTATCATCTCGGCTATATATTAAAATCTATAAATACAATAGTAATAAGTTAACAGTTAAAATAACTTTTAAATAAAAAGGTCTTCGCCTGGCACTGAAAAGCAAATAATGACAGCGCCAGGCGGACCTCTCTGGGCAGCGCATTCCATAGGTGGGGTGCCACCACAGAAAAGGCCCTCCTCCGGGTACTCACTGTCCTAATATCCTTCATGGAGGGTTCCCGGAGAAGGGCATCCACTGCTGATCGTAGGGGGCGGGCAGGCATATATGAATGCAGACGTTCCTTTAGATAACCAGGTCCCAAGCCGTTAAGGGCTTTGTAGGTCATAACCAACACCTTGAATTGGGCCCGGACTTCAGTAGGGAGCCAGTGAAGCTGACGGAGAACTGGGGTTATATGAGAACAACGCCCAGTCCCCGTCAGCAACCTGACACCAATTTTGCACCAATTGAAGTATCTGGACCGCCTTCAAGGGTAGCCCCACATAGAGCGTGTTAACAGAAATCTAGTCAGGAAGTTACCAATGCGTGGGTCACTGTTGCCAGGCAGTTGTTCTCCAGATGAATGAATCAACGCAGCTGATGAATGAACGCAGCTGATGAATCAGCTGGAGCTGAAGGAAGGCGCTCCTCGCCACCGCTGTCACCTGAGCTTCTAATGACAGCTCAGGGTCGGGGCGCACTCCCAAGATGCGAACCCTGTCCCTCAGAGGGAGTGCAGCCCCATTTAGGACAAGGCCCAAGTCCCCACCTCGAAGCCTGAACCACCCACCAACAGGACCTCCATCTTGATAGAAGTATGATAGAAGTATGATAGAAGTATGTATTCTCTTTCTCCTTCAGAGACAAAGTCAGTCTGTCCATTTCGGCACAGTCCAAGATTTTTTTTAAATCAGTTCATCAGTAGGTGGTTCTTCACTCCTCCATATTGCCTGTTATGTTCTATTACATTTTCTCTGTATTGCGCAATGAAGGCCCCCCGTTTGATTTTAGATCTATACATTATTGATATTTGAACAACAGAAACATATACATATAAAGGAAATAGACTTCTGAGGATATGTTAGAGACAAATGTTTATATTAATGTGTTGTTATAGTAACTTGAGTCAAGGTGAATAAAGAAAAAGTTAAAGAATCGCAATTTAGAAGACATTTTCAATGAATTTTAACTTAATTTTTTAAAATGTGACTGAAGTAGAAAGGATAATAACCATTGACTTACAGTGTATTCTTTGATATTCTGTGTAATACTAGTTTAAGATCCCTTGCTGTTTCTTTGTTGTTTTGTCTTTCCACCTTTTAATTCCTATTTTCTTTCTTTTTCAAGCATTACTGTTATTAAAATAATAAAAAGGAAAAAGGAAAAAAAGATATTTGTATGAATACTGTGTGCATTAGCTAATTTGTGGAAGACCAAAGCTTCAGTGGAGTCTTTATCTGGCTATTTTTAGTGATCAGGGTGATGTTAGCATTAATTGTACAGAATTTGACTTTCAAAGGTGAGTACTTCAGAAAAGAATATAACAACAGCCCTGCTGGATCAAGCCAAAAATCCATCAAGCCCAGTAGTCTGATTTTACCAGCAGCAAACAAAATACCTTTGCAAAGTTCTTGATAATAGACAAAACAGAAGATTCTGTGTTACTCATACCTCCTGATCATGCTTGTTTGTCTTTTTGTATTTTCTCTCATATATGACAGAAATCAACAATGTTTAAAGCAGTGTTTGTTTCCTTTACAGATGCATTCTGTTAGAACTTAAAGATGGAATTGGGAAAAGGTAAATTGCTAAGAACTGGCCTCAATGCCTTATACCAGGCCATCCACCCTGTGCATGGGATTGCCTGGACAGATGGAAAGCAAGTGATACTGACTTCTTTATACCTACATAATGGAGAACCTAAATTCGGCAACTCCAATGTTGTTGGTCAGTTTGAACATGTGCTTGGACTCTACTGGGGTCCATCATGCACTCCAGATGTTCCTGCACTCCTTGCTATTCAGCATAAAAAACACATCACCATGTGGCAACTCTGTTACAGCATTTCTGAAAGAAACAAACTAATGGTTTATCAAATCAGTGAAATTAGTGAGCTGTTCCCAATACTTCCTCAGGGCTGCATCTGGCATCCCAAAAAAGAAATCCTGGCTGTGCTTACGACAAGGGACACTTCTGTATTGCACTCCGTTCGTCTGAACAACTCCCGGATAAAGGCTGATATTAAAGGCACTGG